TTTTTTTCCATGAAAGTAATTGATGGCTTCACCAGGCTAAAGCTGTATTTTAAAATGACAGGTAATGTTCTGTGCGTGTGTATGCATGCATGTGTGTGCGTGTGTGAAGTTTAATAAATTTTGGTTCATATTTCTAGAATATACCATTCTCATCTTCTTCCTCTCCCCACGCTCTTTCTGCAGGCATAACCTTCAGTGTCATAATTTCAATACGTAGCACGTCCACAAAGTAAGTTTCCCACTCATCCCACAGCTAGCAAACCTTATATTGTGCGTACGTGATACAGCAATGACATAGCATGGCGCATGCACTAAAGGAATTTCCCGCATTCTCACAGTAGCATCGTTGCAGCTGTTGAAGACGGAAGCTCTTATTCCAACTCCCGCCGACTGTGAAGTGCGGTCAGTGATAAAGTTTTTGAATGCACAGAGCATAGCACCGATCGAAATTCATCGTCAGCTGTGCTGGTTCTATGGGCCTAATGTCATGAGCAAGCAGATGGTGCGTCGCTGGTGCAGACAGTTTTCAGCAGGTCGACAAAGTGTGCATGATGAGAAGTGCAGTGGGCGGCCATCCATCATTACAGACGACCTGGTGGAGCTTGTGCGGGAACGTATTATGGAGAATCGTCACGTCACAATTACGGAACTCAGCAGTCGTGTCCCGCAGATTTCCCGCACCTTGTTGCACGAAATTGTCATGGAGCACCTGTTGTTCAGGAAATTGTGCGCTAGGTGGGTGCCGAAGCAACTGACACCAGAACACAAAGCGCATGGAGTCAGCATTGACCTTTCTGCAGCAGTACCATGATGACGGCGATGAGTTTCTGGACCGGATCATCATAGGTGATGAAACGTGGATTGCACACATTACCCCAGAAACCAAGCAGCAGTCAATGCATTGGCGTCACAGTGGATCTCCCTGTAAGACGAAATTCAAGCAGACATTGTTGGCGCGGAAAGTGATGTGTAGGGTATTCTGGGATAGACGTTCTCCAAATCGACTTCCTGACCAGAGGTGAGATGGTGAATGCTGAGTGTTACTGTGAAAAACTGCCGAAATTGTGATGGGCCATTCAGAACAAGCGGTGCAGGATGCTTAGTGCAGGTATTGTCTTCCTGCACGATAACGCTAGGCCGCACACGGCTCGACGGATAGCAAGTCTCCTGCAGGAGTTCAGCTGGGAGGTGTTTAATCATCCACCCTACAGCCCAGACCTCGCTCCCAGTGATTTCCATCTGTTCCTACACCTCAAGAAATTCCTGTCCAATGAGTGTCAGCATTTTGAGAATGACAGAGAGGCGGAGATGGTTGTCACACAGTGGTTCCAATCCCAGGCAGCAGACTTTTATGACACAGGTATTCAAAAGTTGGTCCCACGGTATGACAAATGTCTCAATTCCGGTAGCGATCATGTTGAAAAATAGCTGAACACTTGCTGTATCTGTTGCAATAAATATTTCCATGAAATTATGTTTTGTTTCTATAAACGGCCCCAAGGAAACTTACTTTGTGGACGAGCCTCGTAGCTTGTTTTTGGTTAAGTTTCTCATGTCATTTCTTGTTTTAACATGACACTTTTTGTCAGAAGCAGCCTTCCCGAACAAGGTCAAGAGGTGTCCATGGCAGTTCCAGAGGACTTCAGAATGCATTGAAAACACCATCTAAGAAAGGTTCTAGGGCAATTGTAACAATATATGATGCATCATCACTGTTTTTCATACACAGAGAACTTGGAGAAAAGTATGTGTAAGTACAAAATACCATATTTTCCCAGATGCAACCCTCACTTTTTTCTGAGAATCAACGCTTTTCATATTAGGATGCATTTTATAGCTGTTGTTACTGAAAAAAAGAGTCATTGGATTATCTAGATCTGATAAAGGTATGTAGGTCATTGTTATGACCAAGGGATGACTCTTTAGCCTTAATTAAATGATACATCAATGCATACTGAGTTTAAATTAATGTTACTGGCTAGTGGAGTCCTAATGGAAATCTATCCTACCATATTTTTTCATGTTTTTTAGCCTCTCTTCACCCCCAAATTAAAATTGTTTTGTAAAGTGCATAACTACATAGTGTAATGTGAAATATGCTTCCTCTCACAAGACAATTTTAGTTAGCTTTTTCTAATGGATCCAACAGAGTAGGTGTGTCTCCTCTCGACAGAGGTTGGGAGAAAATCCAGTTTCCAAAATGTGGTCTTTTGTGTTTTAGGATACCAGATGATGGACAGAGTCCAAAAACCCAGCAATCCTGCATATTATGCCCCATCATTAGAACACTTTAGAATCTACCTATGATTTCTCATTCACTAAACAAATTTTGCTGTTGTCACTGTATCACTAAGTAGATGGAGATGTGTACAGTTCAGCCCACTGCATCAGTTTTTTTTTTCTTTTCATATTGTCTGGTAATGATGTTTCGGTAACTTCAGCTTGACAAGATTAATTAATGTATGATGTAGTACAATATACTGAACTGTAATGAACTGTAATGTAATAAATATGATACAATATAATATAGTTTGTTCACAGGAAGTTTTCTTTTATTCTCTAAATCTCAAAATGTTTGTTGTCAGGTGTGGTAAGGAATGTATTGAAGAATGCCTGTTTTTATGGTATTTCTTAGGTGATGATGGGTGAGGTGTCTGACCAACTGCATTGATTTTTGTACAGATTTGACGGCCATGATCTTCCAGGCATGTGCCATCGGAATTCTGCCATAGCAGCATTAGTTGGTCGTCGAGATTTGGTGCAAGCCTGGACTCTGGCAGCTTTAGCAGCCACTCCATCAATGCAGCCAACCTCAGACCAGGATAATGATATACCATGGCCACACCATCCCTTTGGCAGGGCTATGGTTGAATCACTGTAAGCTTCTGTGTAATATTACACCTCTACATTATGCTGTATTCTACAGTAAAATGAGCAAGAGTATTGTTTTTAAGTGGCACAAACGTTTCAGAGAAGGCAGAGATATGACTGATGATGAAAGGTAAAGTGCTCTTATAATGAAGTACATGGATGAAATGTTGCAACAATCAGGAAACTTGTGTGATCTGACAGCTGGTTAATTTGCAGGATGATAGCAGATGAGCTTGATATGGGCAAAGGGAATGTTAGGAAAATTTTAGTCCAGGATCTTGTCATGAGAAAATTAGCAGCTTGTGCTGCAACACTTGACAGAGGAAGAAAAGGACTGACGTGTCACTTTGTGCATGGACTTTGCAGAATACCTTCACCTTCCTTGGTTATGAAACATGCTGTTATCCATACAATCCCAAGGCCAACTGCCAATCCATGGAATGGAGACTGAAGAATTCCCACGGGTCAAAGATGCTATGTCAAAGTCCAGGATCAAAACAATATTGATCTGCTTTATCAACATCAGAGTTATTATCCACTTCAAACTTGTAACCGAACGGACCAGTGTTACTCGGACAATTTACATGTAGGTGTTGAAAAGTTTATCGATGTCGTGAGGTGCAAGCAAGGAGAGTTGTGGAGAGATCACTCATTGATTCTTCACCAGGACAGTGCACCAGCACAGTGTTCACTTTGAGTGTTGCAGTTTTTAGTAGGAAAAAGCATCTCAGCCATCGCTCATCTACTGTGCACTCCTGACTAGGATTCATCTGTCTTCTGGTTCTTTCCATAACTCAAGTCATGTGAAAATAATTTGGACATATTCCTGTTCAGAATTTATAAAACTTTTTTGAACAGTGGGCCAAAGTGCTGGGAACATTGTAAGGAATTAGAGGGAGATAGATTACTTTGAAAAATTCTGGGTTGCTAATATCTGCCACTCTTAAAACAAAAAAAAAATTAGTTTCAAAACTCATTTTCCTGACTTGTACTCTTCACATTTAACATGGCACTGTCAAATAATTCAAGAAACAAAATTTACGGTTTTCATGACAGTGATTCATATTTCTGTCTCCTGGATTAGAATACCATGCTGTCTGGTAGGTGAGTGCCATGGTTTCAGAGGAACTTGTTGCATCCATTTTTATGTGAATACGAGCAGGCTGTGCAGTGTCATATCCCAGAAGACCACAGTTAGAAACCAAGGAACAAGTACTAGAGAACAGAATCAAGAAAATATTGTGACTGGATTCCATGATAAATTTTTATGGGACTTTGGTGTGCTTAATATTGCTTTCAGTATAGAAACTGGCTATGGGCTGGAAGATGGGTCGGAGTTCAAGTCCTCGTATGGTCAAGAATTTTCTCTTCTCCATATCTTCCAGACTGGCTCTGGGACCCACCCAACTTCCTATCCAATGGGTACTGGGGACTTTCCCTGGGGGTAAAGCTGCCGGGGTGTGAAGCTGAACACTCACCTCCAACTAGTGCTGAGGTTAAGAAAACCTAGATCTATACATCCCTTCCCCTGAACGTCTTCATGGTGTAATGCTTAATTAGTTAAGCACGAGGATGACCTTTTTTTTTTACAGCCAGCGATAGGCCTTGATCAAAAGTAGCTGTTTGCCATTGTGCTTCAGGTACTTCCCTATATTCCAGTCGTCTAGCCATTGTCTTGATGCTGTGGACCGGGTGACAGAGGACAGAGGAGGGATGCAGTAGGGGAATAGAACTAGATGTAGAATGATAAACCTTAACATTGTAACTTCATCTGTGGGGTTGTCTCCATGGCTTCAATATAGCTGAGTGACCATTAGTTTCTTAAGGACTCTGCTGTATGATGATAGTTAATAAAAATCATAGTACAGTGGAACCTCGCTTAAAGAGCACCTCTCATAACAAGCAAAACAGATTGTAAAAAAATGACTCTTTTAACGAGCGACATTTCGCATAACGAGTGACGAGAGGGGAAGCCCCGGATTGTGCGCTTGCTACATCAGTCTGTGTTAACACTCATTCCGCTAGCATCTTAGTGTCGCTTGTGATCACACATTTTTCCAAACTTGTGTTCAGACATAGTGTCACATGTTGCGCAACGGAGGACCCCTACCTCCCCAGCGGCAACGTAGCGCTCTCGTTACTACTTGTCGCACTACGCAGGACACCACTCCCCCCCCGGCGGCGGTGACGTGCCGAGCGGAGCCGAAGTGAGCCGAATCCCAGCGCACTGGTCGCTATGCAACGTGGATAAACAGTGGTTGCGATAGACCCTAGCAACAGTGATGCCTACCACGTTGTTGTTTTCTCGTTGCCCTGCTGAGGGTTTATAAGGGAGCTACACAGCCGCCGACGACAGTTCTCAGTTTGCAAGTTACGAGTTACAGACGCGTGTGCGAGAATCAGTGATAGTTCGTGATAACTGAGGGTATTTGGAGTGTGTAATTCAGCGAGACTTGTATAGCTCCCACGCTATTAATACGTGAAGACTCTTGAAGATAGTGTTAAGAGATTTTATTGTAGGGTTTGTAAAGTGTGGAAACCCGTAACATTGTTATCATTAATTGTAGCCGATACTTGTAGATTGTTAAATAAACCAATTAACGATCTGTACAGCGTCTTCAGTAACCCAACACGTTACAATATTATTTGTGATTTTTTTTTCGTGCAAAGTTTAATAACCCTTGCAAAAATGTCCCCGAAGAAAAAGCCGCAAAAAGACAGCCATAAGAGAATAAAAATAACCGTGGAAATGAAACGTAAAATCATTGAAAAGCGAGAATGAGGTGTGAGCGTGGCTGATCTAGCATGCGCATACAATCAGTCTACATCAACGATTTGGAGTTGCATTGTGTTTCACAGCAAGAAGTTGTGGAGGAGAGTTTGTCAGAGGAGGAGGAGGAGGAGGTAACAGCAAAGCAACAATCTTCTGGCGCAAAAAGAGAAATGCTGAAAGCATGGGAAACTGTTGCATCGTACATTGAGA